GACAAGCACCTAAAGTCGGTACCTGACCAGCTGGGCTGTGGCTCGTACGTTGGATTGTGTGCAGCCAGCAGTAACAGCCTGGTTGATCAGGCTCTGATCCACCAGGAGGCCTGGTCACAGACCGGGCCATGGGAGCGTTGACCCCTGGAACTCTCTCCAGGTAAATTCCAGGTGCTTTTGTAAGTGTATTTTTGGGGGTCTGAAATGGACTAATCTAATTTACATTCCTTATGGGAACAAATTCATTCAGTAATGGCACTTGAACAGCCTTCTGGAACAAAGAAAGTTCAAAACTCGGGGTACCACTGAATTATTGTAATAATTGAAACATCAATCCAAAAAATAGGGACATGCCTGCTGAATTCCACGAAGAGATATAAATTATTTTACACTGAAAGTCAACAGGAAAGCAGGCAGAGTTGCTGTGTATGTTAACAAAAATTTAAACTGTTGCATCAGAAACGACGTAAAGATGGAAGAGAAGCACACAGAATTTGGCTGCATTTTCTCAAAGGGCAAGAATAGGTAATGTTAGGAGTGATCTACTGACCCCTAAACCTTGACAGTGACCAGAGTAAACTTTTCTTTTGGGGGGATAAAAATGCTCAGGGATTTAGAAGCAAAAATTTAGTTTGAATGGGAGATTTTAACACTTTGAGGGTGCATCCCGTAGTTCTATGGCTTTGAAGCCAGGGTCCAGGCCGTAGTACTAGGTCATGAGCTCAGCTTACTCAGATAAGCTATGAGCAGTAAATTTGGGCTTAGATATGAGAGAATGCATCTGTGTGGTAAGTGTGCACCATATAAAACAAATCCTGCAGCACGCAGTGCATAATGAGAAAACAAAACTCCAACCATGTTTTTGGATTAAAACTGTGACTTTGCAGTGTATTTTCGTACAGTTTTTATGGTTGTATTCATGGTTTCTTGGGTCTCATTTGATAGAATGGTAGATATATTACAGAATTAGAGATGATTTTGATTAGTTTTTGCACTAAAAATAGCTTGAAATTGAGCTCATAGTAGCAGAAATGTTCGATTTTTGCCAATGTTCAAGAGTAAACAAATCACATCACGAGTCCAATATGTGTCAGCTGGTGGGTCTAATGTGTGTTCATGAATGCACTGATATTATTTATACTGTTATGCAATATTTATAATATTGCAAAACAGTAAATCTTCTGTTTTTGATGTGAATAAAATTCTTTACGTGAATAAAACATCAAATGGAATTCACGTGTAAAGCCTGGAAACATAACTAATATTAGTTATTTTAGTGCCAGGAATGCCTGCACTGTTTATTCTGGACCCTCTTTTGAAATTGAAATATTTTGAACTTTGTGTGAAACTGGCTAAATTACCAATTTCTAATCACTATTGGGTAGTCGAGATAGTTGATCGAGCGATTTCTTTTGCTCAATAGATAAAATGGAACACATACTAGCGAAACAGATAAGAAGTTGGTCTAATGGAACAATGTAATTGGCTGAAAAATAGGACTCAAAGTGGAGAAACTGACACAGCAAAATTCATGAGTGTAATTGCATCAATTTTTTTTATCAAATTTCATACTTTTTATCTTATTACCCTCAGAAAAAGATTCTCTACTATTTCTTAAGAAAAAATAATTATTTATTTATTTATTTATTTTTTTTTTAAATTCTTGGACCCTGCGTAGAATTTTCAGATTGGGGGTTTGGACCCTCAAAGGGTTAACTTTAGCCAAATCAATTGGATCAGTTTGACAGGTAATCAAGACTTTTTTGAAATGGTCCAGGGCTGCTTTTTAAAATGGTTTGTCTGAACCAACTAGAGGAAATAACCAGTTGGACCTGGGACTGGCAAAGGATTCTCTGACAGATAATCTTAAGGTTAATGAAGAGCTTGGAGAAAGTGATCACAAATTGCTTAGTTTTGACATCTCATGAAATTACCTTAATAATGATAAGAAAGTTAAGATTCCCAATTTTCATGCTGCAGAAGTTTAGACTGGGTCTACCTGACCAGGGCATGAGGAAGACTGGATAGGTGGTGGTGGTTGACAATATAACATTTTCCAAAGCATTGTACAAGCTGGCCAAGCTGCATATATTCCTAGTAGACAATCTAAATCAAACATGAATGACCCTAAATGGATAAGCAATAGACTCGGACTTCTCTTGGGTGAAAAGAAAGACATTTACCGGTGAATCAAAAGAGGTGAGACTCACCGTATTGAACATTACAATCAATTTAAATGAAGGACTATGAAAAGCCAAAAGAGAATATGAAATTAAGGTTGCAAGGGAATCAAAGAACAATCCTAAGGCTTTTTATTGGGTATATGTATAGAGGAATAAGATTAGAGAAAACATAGGCCCACTTAAATGTGACTGAGGTCAGTTTATGGTTAGTTGCAAAGAAATGCTTACCATTTTCAAGTTTATCCTTTCTGTTCTTACACAACAAGTCAATAATTATACTAGTCAGGACAAAAATAAACTATGCTATCAAAGTCACTAATGCTATAGTCCTCAATAACTAGACAAAGTGAACCCACACAAGTTACTATGCCCTGATAAACTGTTTTCAAGAGTTGTAAAAGAATGTAAGGAGGAACTAAGCATATACATAGCTAGTCTCTTCAACTTATCATTGTAGACAGGTACTGTACTCCATAAATGGAAAATGGTAAATGTTATACCTATGTAGAAAGCAGGAGGTAAGTCCTTAGCTGCAAATTATAGACCAATCAACATAACCTCAACTGTGGGAAGGCTGATGGAATCAATATTTGCTGTTGCAATCTGAAGCCACCTTCAAAGAAAAAATCTGATCATTAATTTTTCACTAAGGTATTCAAGGTGGTAGACAATTACAAATAACACAATATTATGCACATAGACTTCAGTAAGGTCTTTGATAATGTTCCACAGAGGAGACTGATTAAAAAAGTAGAAGAATGTGGAAAAAGAGGGACATATCTCCTGGGTTAAGGCAAGGCTGAATGACAGACAACAGAGAGTTTGCATGAACCTTTTCCCTATCCAGATCCCAGAAATGAAACTTGCTCTCAACATCCAAACATTTAAAAAAAAAAACTTATAAATTTTTCTTCCAAAATGGCAGAGAATCTTTTTTCTTAATATAAAGACATGAAAAGTAAAGAGTTTGATGGAAAACATACGAAATTAGACAGGCACAAAGTTAGTGGTCTTGGCAAAATTTATGCACCAATAATTTTGCCCACTTGAGCCCAGTTTTGGGCCAATTCTATTGTTCTAGTTGACCAAACTTGTAGGTGTTTAGCTAGAACTCCTTTTATTCTATCAATTGAGTACTAGAAACTGCCCATTTACCCATTTCATTGCCAGAACACACTAAAGGACCCCTGTCTGCAAATCAGTTTAACCCATAAACGGTCCAAACGTATACAGTAGGGCCACACTTATACGGCGGGTTAGGTTCCAGGCTGTCACCGGAAAGCAGACATCGCCGGAAGGCAGAACTCCATTTTTTTTCCATTTATAAATGCAAATAAATGCCAGACAACAAGTTTACACTAAATTATATTAAGTTAGTAATAGAACTAGGCATTAAAAACACACAAAGTAAAATACAGTCACAGTAAATTCATTACTTATCTTAAAGCATTTGTAATCTTAATGTAGGGAGAGAGGTGAGTAGTACTTATTTGTAGGAAGTCAGGTGCAGGTAGCCCAGGTGTAGGTAGCACTGGCTCCCCGTCTCATACTTAATATACGATATTTAAAACATCCCAGAGAGGTAAAATACACATACAGTACACTCATTATTTACCTTAAAATATGTGTAGTCTTAATATAGGAAGAGAGGTGAGTAGTATTTATTTGTAGAAAGTGGATGACATCGAAAGGGTTGGAAGGGGTAAGGGAGGTTTTGTGGGCGAGGGGCTTGGACTTCCAGCAGGCGTGCGTGAGCGTGTTTGATAGGAGTGAATGGAGACGAGTGGTATTTGGGACCTGACAATCTGTTGGAGTGTGAGCAGGATAGTATTTAGTGAAGGGATTCAGGGAAACCGGTTATTTTTATACAGCCGGACTTGAGACCTGGAAATGGGAAGTACAATGTCCGCACTCTAAATGAGGGGTTCGGGATATTGGCAGTTTGGAGGGATATGTTGTGTATATACGTATATGCTTCTAAGTTGTTGTGTTCTGAGCACCTCTGCAAAAACAGTGATTATGTGTGAGGGAGGTGAAAGAGTTGAATGATGATGAAAGTATTTTCTTTTTGGGGATTTTCTTTCTTTTTGGGTCACTCTGCCTCGGTGAGAGATGGTCGACTTGTTAAAAAAAAAAAAAAGATTGAAGTGTACAAATGGAAAACAGAAATAAATAAAAGGGATATACAGAGTGCTGGAAATATCTAACAAAAACATAACTTATAGTAATGGATTCAAGTTAAAGAAATTTAGATTTAGAAAGGATATTGGTATGTACTGATTTGGCAACAGAGTTGTAGATGAGTGAAAGGGACTCCCATCATTGAAGCAAGAACTTTGGGTACACAAGTTGGTGTAGGTAAGTGTGAACGTGACCTGCCTAGCATGGGCCAGTAGGCCTGCTGCAGTGTTCCTTTGTTCTTATGTTAACAGAGGTAACACATCCTACTTGGCTTTGAATAAATCTAATATGCAGGCATAATAAACATAATAAATCCAGTAATAAAGATAAATCAACAAACATGAAGTTTGTTCAATGAGCTGGGTGTATCCCACCGAGGCAGAGTGACCGAAAAAGAGAAACAAAAGTAATTTATACAGGAGAAGGGGCGACTAGCTCCTTTCTCCCAGTGTTTTAGTCGCCTTTTACGACACGCATGGCTTACAGAGGAAGAATCCTTTTCCACATCCCCCATGGGTAAAAAAAAAACTATTGCAATGATCTGAAAACCTAACTACAGCATCATTAACTGAAGTTCTTATATACCTTTCTCCTGAAGGAATACTTTTTATTTACTCTACCATTACAGTTACTTACCTTTATTAATCAAATGGCAAGGCAGCTTGAAGGAGTGACCTTTAGGGCACTTCACAGTATTGGGAGTTAACACCGTGCAATTGACAGTACATTCATCCATACAACGTTTTGTGCAAGGATGACCACATGGTAACTTCTTGAGGCAGTTTCCATCACACTTGCTACTTGTGGCTGGTAGTCCACACTCAATCTGAAATACAAATATTAGTGCTGGAAGCCTTTGTGAGAAAATTATATTATATCAAGCAAATTTTTCACCAAATTATTCAACTGTAACTGTATATTATAAGAGGTCTCCAACTTACAAATGCTCAATGTTACACACACACAACATTTACAAACACAATGCTCAGTTACCAATTAAAGTTTCAAGCAGTGAGCCACAGTACAGACGTGTAAAACACAACCATCCACTATAATGTTACTTTCAATATATACATCTCTCTGGTAAATTTAAAAACCAAGAACAAGGCTCTTTTATAAGTTGGGAGACCACTTATACTTCAAGTATTTCAGGCAAGCTTTTAAAATTACCGCTAGTCTCTTCCACCTCACTTAGAAACCACTTCACAACCTATAAATTATAATAATGCTTCTTTTTTTCTAGTTCCTCTAACGATGTATGTAAACATACAAAGTGTTCAGATTCAGATTTAGATATTGCTGCCAAAGTGGCTAGTTTATTGTGCACCCCACATCCATCCTCCTGATGCAAGCACAAGAATATATACACACACAAAACACCACGTAACTAGGCTGCAAGAGGATAAACAAGAGATCACTTGGGTATATATTTACAATTTACATTTAATCTATTAAAAGCAAATGAAGGATATTTGCTCAAAATGTCTAGTATCATATTTTCACTAATAGGATATTTTATTTAGGTCGAATTTGCCAGGCTGAAGGATAGGCTGATGAAATCTTTTTACAGGGTAATATTTAGTAAAGGCATTCATGGAAACCAGTTAGCCAGACTCGAGTCATAGAGGTGGGAAGTACAATGCCTGCACTTTAACCCTTTCAGGGTTTCGGATGTACTAGTATGGCTTACGCACCAGGGTTTTTGACGTACTAGTACGCCTTAATTCTAGCGCCCTCAAATCTAGTGAGAGAAAGCTGGTGGGGCTACATATGAAAGAATGGGTCTATGTGGTCAGTGTGCACAGTATAAAAAAATCCTGCACCACACAGTGCATAATGAGAAAAAAAACTTTGACTGTGTTTTTGGATTAAAACAGTAACTTTGCACTGTATTTTCGTATGGCATTTATCATTGTATTCTAGTTTTCCTGGTCTCATTTTATAGAATGGAAAACATATTACAGAAACTGAGATGATTTTGACTGTTTTTACAATGAAAAGTACCTTGAAATTGAGCTCAAAGAAGAAGAAATGTTTGATTTTTACCAAAGTTCAAAAGTAAACAAATCATGTTTTAAGCGTCCAATACACGTTAACTGGTGAGTCTAATATTCTTTCACAAATGTGCCGATATTATTTATACTATTTCTACACTAATGCAGCAGTCTGCATAACAGTAAATCTTCTATTTTTTGTGAGAATAAAAATTCAAAGTGGAAAGCAAAAGAATGTAAGAGGGGCCTGGGGATGTGAATAATAAACAGAGGAAATGTTATTTTAGTGCCAGGAATGTCTTTCTTGTTTATTCTGGACCCTATTTGGAAATTGGCATCTTCTGAAATTTGTGTGAAATTGGCAAAATTGCTAAATTCTGACCACTATATTGGATAGCTGGAATTGGTAAATGGGTGGTTTCTTGAACTCATTCGATAGAAAAATGGAGTTCTAGCAAAATAGTTATGATTTTTGTCAACTAGCACACTGGAATTGGCCGAAAATAGGGCATAAAGTGGGCAAAATCGCCGATGCGTAAACATCGTCGAGACCGCTAACTTCACGAGAGCATAATTCCGCAAGTTTTCCACCAAATTTCATACTTTTGGTGTCATTATGATTGGGAAGAGATTCTCTATCTTTTCATAAGAAAAACAATTTTTTTTTTTTGAAATTTGGGCAACCCAGAGAACAAGTCTGGGAGAGTGCCTGGGGACCCTGAAAGGGGTAAAGGAGGGTTTTAGCCATCAGGAAATGGTGCCCCGTGGCCTGGTGGCTAAAGCTCTTGCTTCTCATGGTGAGGGTCTGGGTTTGATTTCCAGTGAGGGTAGAAACATTGGGCATGTTTCTTTACACTGGTTGTCTATATTCCCCATCAGTAAAATGGGTATCTTGGTGGTAGTCAACGTATGGGCTGCATCCTGGAACAAAAACTGACCTAATTTGCCAGAAATGCTCTGGATAACAAGCAGCTTGCAGTATAGTAGTACAGTATGTCACTGATATCAGCTAGGCCTATATGCCTTGTACATGTACTTGTAGAAATAGATATTATTATTGTTTTTTTTAACAAGTTGGCCATCTCCCACCGAGGTAGGGCGACCCAAAAAAAAAGAAAATCCCCAAAAAGAAAATCTTTTCATCATCATTTAACACTTTCACTTCACTCACACATAATCACTGCTTTTACAGAGGTGCTCAGAATACAACAGTTTAGAAGCATATACATATAAAGATACACAACATATCCCTCTAAACTGCTAATATCCCAAAACTCCTCCTTTAAAGTGCAGGCATTGTACTTCCCATTTCCAGGACTCAAGTCTGACTATATAAAAATAACCGGTTTCCTGGAATCCCTCCACTAAATATTACCCTGCTCACACTCCAACAGCACATCAGGTCCCAAATGCCATTCGTCTCCATTCACTCCTATCTAACATGCTCACGCACGCTTGCTGGAAGTCCAAGCCCCTCACCCACAAAACCTCCTTTACCGCCTCCCTCCAACCTTTTCGAGGACGACCCCTACCCCGCCTTCCTTTCCCTACAGATTTATATGCTCTCCATGTCATTCTACTTTGATCCATTCTCTCTAAATGACCAAACCACCTCAACAACCCCTCTTCAGACCTCTGACTAATACTTTTATTAACTCCACACATTTTCCTAATTTCCACACTCCGAATTTTCTGCATAATATTTACACCACACATTGCCCTTAGACAGGACATCTCCACTGTCTCCAACCGTCTCCTCGCTGCTGCATTCACAACCCAAGCTTCACACCCATATAAGAGTGTTGGTACTACTATACTTTCATACATTCCATTCTTTGCCTCCATAGAAAACATTTTATATGCCTCAACATGTATCTCAACGCACCACTCACCTTTTTTCCCTCATCAATTCTATGATGAACCTCATCCTTCCTAAATCCATCCTACTAGGACAATATTAACTAGGTCTATGAGGGCAACATCAACTAGGTCAACTAGGGCAACATCAACTAGGTCTACTAGCACAACATCAACTAGGTCTACTAGGACAACATTAACTAGGTCTACTAGGACAATATTAACTAGGTCTACTAGGACAACATTAACTAGGTCTACTAGGACAACATCAACTAGCTCTACTAGGACAACAACTAGGTCTTCTAGGACATCAACTAGGTCTACTAGGGCAACATCAACTAGGTCTACTAGGACAACAACTAGGTCTTCTAGGACATCAACTAGGTCTACTAGGGCAACATTGACTAGGTCTACTAGGACAACATCAACTAGCTCTACTAGGACAACAACTAGGTCTACTAGGGCAACATCAACTAGGTCTACTAGGACAACAACTAGGTCTTCTAGGACATCAACTAGGTCTACTAGGGCAACATTGACTAGGTCTACTAGGACAACATCAACTAGCTCTACTAGGACAACAACTAATTCTACTAGGACAACAACTAGGTCTTCTAGGACATCAACTAGGTCTACTAGGGCAACATTGACTAGGTCTACTAGGACATCAACTAGGTCTACTAGGACAACAACTAGGTCTTCTAGGACATCAACTAGGTCTACTAGGGCAACATCAACTAGGTCTACTAGGGCAACATTGACTAGGTCTACTAGGACATCAACTAGGTCTACTAGGACAACAACTAGGTCTTCTAGGACATCAACTAGGTCTACTAGGGACAACTCAACTAGGTCTACTAGGGCAACATTGACTAGGTCTACTAGGACATCAACTAGGTCTACTAGGACAACAACTAGGTCTACTAGGACAACAACAACTAGGTCTACTAGGACAACATCAACTAGGTCTACTAGGATATCAACTAGGTCTACTAGGACAACAACTAGGTCTTCTAGGACATCAACTAGGTCTACTAGGGCAACATCAACTAGGTCTACTAGGACAACAACTAGGTCTACTAGGACAACAACAACTAGGTCTACTAGGACATCAACTAGGTCTACTAGGACAACAACAACTAGGTCTACTAGGACAACAACAACTAGGTCTACTAGGACAACATCAACTATGACTACTAGGACATCAACTAGGTCTACTAGGACAACAACTAGTCTACTAGGACAACAACAACTAGGTCTACTAGGACAACAACAACTAGGTCTACTAGGACATCAACTAGGTCTACTAGGACATCAACTAGGTCTACTAGGACATCAACTAGGTCTACTAGGAAAACATCAACTAGGTCTACTAGGACAACATCAACTATGACTACTAGGACATCAACTAGGTCTACTATGGCAATATCAACTACGTCTATGAGGGCAACATCAACTAGGTCTACTAGAACATCAACTAGGTCTACTAGGACAACATCAACTATGTCTACTAGGACATCAACTAGGTCTACTAGGACAATATCAACTAGGTCTACTAGGACATCAACTAGGTCTACTAGGGCAACATCAACTAGGTCTACTAGGACAACATCAACTAGGTCTACTAGGACATCAACTAGGTCTACTAGGACAACATCAACTAGGTCTACTAGAACATCAACTAGGTCTACTAGGACAACATCAACTAGGTCTACTAGGACATCAACTAGGTCTACTAGGGCAACATTAACTAGGTCTACTAGGGCAACATCAACTAGGTCTACTAGGACAACAACTAGGTCTTCTAGGACATCAACTAGGTCTACTAGGGCAACATCAACTAGGTCTACTAGGACAACAACTAGGTCTACTAGGACAACAACAACTAGGTCTACTAGGACATCAACTAGGTCTACTAGGACAACAACAACTAGGTCTACTAGGACAACAACAACTAGGTCTACTAGGACAACATCAACTATGACTACTAGGACATCAACTAGGTCTACTAGGACAACAACTAGGTCTACTAGGACAACAACAACTAGGTCTACTAGGACAACAACAACTAGGTCTACTAGGACATCAACTAGGTCTACTAGGACATCAACTAGGTCTACTAGGACATCAACTAGGTCTACTAGGAAAACATCAACTAGGTCTACTAGGACAACATCAACTATGACTACTAGGACATCAACTAGGTCTACTATGGCAATATCAACTAGGTCTATGAGGGCAACATCAAATAGGTCTACTAGAACATCAACTAGGTCTACTAGGACAACATCAACTAGGTCTACTAGGACATCAACTAGGTCTACTAGGACAACATCAACTAGGCCTACTAGGACAACAACTAGGTCTACTAGGGCAACATCAACTAGGTCTACTAGGACATCAACTAGGTCTACTAGGGCAACATCAACTAGGTCTACTAGGACAACATCAACTAGGTCTACTAGGACATCAACTAGGTCTACTAGGACAACATCAACTAGGTCTACTAGAACATCAACTAGGTCTACTAGGACAACATCAACTAGGTCTACTAGGACATCAACTACGTCTACTAGGGCAACATTAACTAGGTCTACTAGGGCAACATCAACTAGGTCTACTAGGACAACAACTAGGTCTTCTAGGACATCAACTAGGTCTACTAGGGCAACATTGACTAGGTCTACTAGGACAACATCAACTAGCTCTACTAGGACAACAACTAGGTCTACTAGGGCAACATCAACTAGGTCTACTAGGACAACAACTAGGTCTTCTAGGACATCAACTAGGTCTACTAGGGCAACATTGACTAGGTCTACTAGGACAACATCAACTAGCTCTACTAGGACAACAACTAATTCTACTAGGACAACAACTAGGTCTTCTAGGACATCAACTAGGTCTACTAGGGCAACATTGACTAGGTCTACTAGGACATCAACTAGGTCTACTAGGACAACAACTAGGTCTTCTAGGACATCAACTAGGTCTACTAGGGCAACATCAACTAGGTCTACTAGGGCAACATTGACTAGGTCTACTAGGACATCAACTAGGTCTACTAGGACAACAACTAGGTCTTCTAGACATCAACTAGGTCTACTAGGGCAACATCAACTAGGTCTACTAGGGCAACATTGACTAGGTCTACTAGGACATCAACTAGGTCTACTAGGACAACAACTAGGTCTACTAGGACAACAACAACTAGGTCTACTAGGACAACATCAACTAGGTCTACTAGGATATCAACTAGGTCTACTAGGACAACAACTAGGTCTTCTAGGACATCAACTAGGTCTACTAGGGCAACATCAACTAGGTCTACTAGGACAACAACTAGGTCTACTAGGACAACAACAACTAGGTCTACTAGGACATCAACTAGGTCTACTAGGACAACAACAACTAGGTCTACTAGGACAACAACAACTAGGTCTACTAGGACAACATCAACTATGACTACTAGGACATCAACTAGGTCTACTAGGACAACAACTAGGTCTACTAGGACAACAACAACTAGGTCTACTAGGACAACAACAACTAGGTCTACTAGGACATCAACTAGGTCTACTAGGACATCAACTAGGTCTACTAGGATAACTAGGTCTACTAGGAAAACATCAACTAGGTCTACTAGGACAACATCAACTATGACTACTAGGACATCAACTAGGTCTACTATGGCAATATCAACTAGGTCTATGAGGGCAACATCAACTAGGTCTACTAGAACATCAACTAGGTCTACTAGGACAACATCAACTAGGTCTACTAGGACATCAACTAGGTCTACCAGGACAACATCAACTAGGTCTACTAGGACATCAACTAGGTCTACTAGGGCAACATCAACTAGGTCTACTAGGACATCAACTAGGTCTACTAGGGTAACATCAACTAGGTCTACTAGGACAACATCAACTAGGTCTACTAGGACATCAACTAGGTCTACTAGGACAACATCAACTAGGTCTACTAGAACATCAACTAGGTCTACTAGGACATCAACTAGGTCTACTAGGACATCAACTAGGTCTACTAGGGCAACATCAACTAGGTCTTCTAGAACAACATCAACTAGGTCTACTAGGGCAATATCAACTAGGTCTTCTAGAATAACATCAACTAGGTCTACTAGGACATCAACTAGGTCTACTAGGGCAACATTAACTAGGTCTACTAGGACAATGTCAACTAGGTCTACTAGGGCAACATCAACTAGGTCTTCTAGAACAACATCAACTAGGTCTACTAGGACATCAACTAGGTCTACTAGGGCAACATCAACTAGGTCTACTAGGACATCAACTAGGTCTACTAGGGCAACATCAACTAGGTCTACTAGGACATCAACTAGGTCTACTAGGGCAACATCAACTAGGTCTACTAGGGCAACATCAACTAGGTCTTCTAGGACAACATCAACTAGGTCTACTAGGGCAACATCAACTAGGTCTTCTAAGACAACAACTAGGTCTACTAGGACATCAACTAGGTCTTCTAGGACATCATCATCTAGGTCTACTAGGACATCGGGTGGCCCGGTGGCCTGGTGGCTAAAGCTCCCGCTTCACACACGGAGGGCCCGGGTTCAATTCCCGGCGGGTGGAAACATTTCGACATGTTTCCTTACACCTGTTGTCCTGTTCACCTAGCAGCAAATAGGTACTTGGGTGTTTGTCGACTGGTGTGGGTCGCATCCTGGGGGACAAGATTAAGGACCCCAATGGAAATAAGTTAGACAGTCCTCGATGACGCACTGACTTTCTTGGGTTATCCTGGGTGGCTAACCCTCCGGGGTTAAAAATCCGAACGAAATCTTATCTTATCTTATCTTATCTTATCAACTAGGTCTTCTAGGACAACGTCAACTAGGTCTACTAGGGCAACATCAACTCGGTCTACCAGGACATCAACTAAGTCTTCTAGGACATCAACTAGGTCTACTAGGACAACATCAACTAGGTCTACTAGGACATCAACTAGGTCAACATCAACTAGGTCTACCAGGACAACATTAACTATGTCTACTCGGGCAACATCAACTAGGTCTTCTAGGACATCAACTAGGTCTACTAGGACAACATTAACTAGGTCTACTAGGGCATCATCAATTAGGTCTACTAGGAGAACATCAACTAGGCCTACTAGGACAACATCAACTAATCTACTAGGACATCATCAACTTGGTCTATGAGGGCAACATCAACTAGGTCTACTAGGACATCAACCAGGTCTACTAGGTCAATATCAACTAGGTCTACTAGGGCAACATCAAGTAGTCTACTAGAGCAACATCAACTAGGTCTACTAGAGCAACATCAACTCTCCATTACTTTCTATATCAACACTCAAGAGCGTCTACAATGTAAAGGGTCAATGCTTCATTATTTCTGAACAAATAAGAAACTTAAACAAAACACTTGACTTTTTTTTTGAGGTGTGAAGAATATAATTATATTTTTCTTTTATGTTCTTCATACTGAATGTCATTATTTTTCATCTATTGCAGATTTCGGGAACATAGTCGTAAGATAAGTGAGCACTGACTGTGTTTAAAAAATTTGTGCAACATGTAAGCAAAGTGAGAACACGTTTATCTGCATTCTTATGTTTTAAAAAAATTGTACTTGTAACAATTATTCTAATTAACTATTAACAGCACAAGAGCTTAATTTAAGACTAATACAGCAAAATAAAAGATCCGACTTACCTCAGCAATGTGATTACAACCTGGTACAGTTTTTTTAACTTTTACTGCACAGTCGCCACATTCTTGATAACACACTTTCTTACATGGATGACCACACATGAGTGTTTTAATGCAGGATTTATGGCACTTGATATCTTCAACACGCTCAGAACAATCAACCTTATTGGCCACATGAGTACATGGTAATATTTTCTTCACTTTTACTATGCAAGATCCACAGTCTTCATAACATTTTTTCTGGCATGTATGGTTTTGTGAACACCCTGCATTCAATCTTGTACAATTTTCTAAACAATTGTAAAGAATGTGGTCTGGGTCTGATGTATGGTGACAATTTAGTCGACATTTGTGACCACAGTCCAGTCTAGTATCACAGTCCATGGGACAAGGAAATACTTTTGGATCATAATGGCAAGGCATCTTAACCTTGTGTTGACAGAGAGGCTTTTCTTTGATTACTTCAGTTGGACACTTGTAGCTACTTGGGTCAACATGGCAAGGAATTCTGTGAATATGACTACAAGGTAACACCTTTGCAACAGGAACTTCACATGGTGTACACTTTTCCCAACATTTCTTTGGACACTGATGGTCCAACTCACAAAGAATCTTGGGACAAGGAACTTGACATTTATACTCACGATGTTTCTGATCATCCACGTGGCAATATCTGGGACAAGAATGCCTGCAGTCTGGAAGAGAACCACCACATACTTGATTACATCCTCCTTCAGGACTTTTGTTGGCGAAATCGTCACCTGATGATACTAACATTAACTGATCAGGATGATTTTTACACCTAAGAGTCAGAGCATTCCCAATGGATTCTTCATTTATAAGATCTTCTTTAATCTTCTTCCAGAGTTCACTTGAGGTACAAAGAAGGTCCATATTTCCAGTAATGTACAGCCCATGCTTGGCACGTGAGAGGGCAACACAAATTCTGTTATCAGTACGAAGGAAGCCAACATTTCCTTCCAAATTACTGCGAACTAAAGATAAGAGGATAATATTATTTTCTTCTCCCTGAAAGTTGTCCACTACACAGATCCTCACATCACAACACTCCCGGCAGTTTCGCTGAAGCTGGTGAACAAAATACATTGCTACGTTAGAATTAAATACAATATTGAATATTAAATTCTCTTGCATTCATTGTAACTCACATAATGACTATATATACAATTACTGCAGTTATCTTATTAATCTTATGTTAGTCTTAAGTTTGCCCAAAATTCTCTGCATATAAAAGGGCTTTTGTCATGCACACCCAATTGTTATACTCCTTTATACAAACATGTATTATGCTAAAATAAAATTATTATTATTTTTCTTATAATTATTATTATATATAATTATAAAGAACTGTAGTTCTGTGCATTTATATTATCTTTTAACCCTTAAGCCGTAGTAGACAATAAAAAAAGTGCTGAGGAGTGCATAGCAAAATTATAGAAAAATTACCATTTTAAAATTCACTTTTATACTAAAATATAACAAAAAAATCAGATGAAAGGTTACCAATTTATGGAATGCTGAAGCTGCCAAAAATTATCGCTCATAAGTGTAAATGGTGTAAGATTTAAAATTCAATCAAATTCACTACACATTGCAAAATTGCGAAGAAAATTTCACCTTAGACTTATTTTTTACCAAAAACTATAAACATGCCAGATAAGCATCAAATGGTCATTTACCCAAAAAAATGCAATTGGTGGAAAAATGGAGAAAAAATAAAATACAAAAACTTCATTTATATCCTCTTCCCCAGCAGCAAGTAAGCCAGAGACTTATCTCTGTGTTATGAAGCTGAGAATGTATCTCTCTCGACTGATCTTTCCTACCTCCTCTCTGCCCCAAGTACACACTTTATATCAACACAACCCAACTTTGCCTACCATGTCTCCATTTTCTTTTAAATCAGCACAAGATACTTTAACTGAAAACCAACATACAATTTCATTAAGAATATGTAGGTAGATAGATAGGGAATGTCCTAGGAAAGTTTGGAAAGAAGGGTTAAAGGAGGTTTTGTGTGTGAGGGGGCTTGGACATCCAACAGGCATGTATGAGTATATCAGATAGGAGAGAAGGAAAGTATTTTTTATGATTTGATATACTGTTGGAGTGTCAGCAAGGTAACATCTACCTGGATGAGGACTAACAAACTTACTCTAAACACTGACAAAACTTACTTCATTCAGTCTGGTAACAGAGCTACAGATGTCCCTCTTAACATAATGATAAATGGATAATCTATCACAAAGCTCACAGAGAGAAAATTCTTAAGAATCCACCTTGATAATAGACTCAAATTTCAAACACACATACAACAAATTTCCAAAAAAATTTCCAAGACCATAGGCATACTATCAAAGATACGGTACTATGTTCCACAGTCAGCCCTCCTGGTTCTATATCACTCACTTATTTACCCCTATCTCACCTATGGAATTTGTGCATGGAGATCTACAACATTAAACCATCTCAGACCACTAATTACCCAACAAAAGGCTGCAATCAGAATGATAACAAATTCCCACTACAGGCAGCACACTCCACCAATATTCAAAACTCTAAACCTACTCACCACAAAAAATCCATATTTATTACTGCACCTACTACATACATAGAACACTTAACTCTGATATTAACCCTCCCCTCAAACATCTCCTTACCAACCTCAACAGAACACATGACCATAACACAAGGCACAGATCACTCTTTGATGTTCCTCGTGTCCATCTCATGCTTTGCAAAAACTCAATGCACATAAAAGGCCTAAAATCTGGAATTCATTACCTTTGAATATAAAAGAAACACAGTCTGTTTATAAATTCAAGTTTCTTCTCAAAAATCACTTATTCACCCACAACTAAATAAATACTGAATAATTGTATCTCATAAATTGTATCTCACAAATGTTTCTCATAATTGTATCTCATAAATGCTTAACCTATGACCCAATCAAACTTTGTTATTTTTTATTACATTACCTAACAGAATACTCCATTCTACTGAATGCACAGCAACACAGTAAATGACCATATGACCTGTCTTTGTAATACTCATTTGTGCTTAATTGTAATCTGTTTACAATAATGTATTACCACTGAATATATCATTGCTTAATTAATCTTAAGTTTAACTTTAAGCCTACCCATAATGCTCTGCATACAAGGGGCTTTGGCGTGTTACACTTAATTACTGTATTCCTTTGTACTTCTCTGTATCATGTTCAAATAAATAAATAAATAAATAAATAGGTAGTAGGTTGGTAGACAGCAACCATCCAGGGAGGTACTACCGTCCTGCTTTATCTTAATAGTTCTTGGTCTTATTACTTTTCCTTTTATATCCATGGGGAAGTGGAATAAGAATCTTTCCTCCATAAGCCATGCGTGTTGTAAAAGTCAACCAAAATGCAGGGAACAATGGGCTAGTAACCCCTTTTCCTGTAAAGATTACGAAAAAGAATAAGAAGAAGAAAATTGCCAAAGTGGGAAGTCTGAATGTGCGTGGATGTTGTGCAGATGATAAGAAAGAGATGATTGTGGATGTTATGAATGAGAAGAAGCTGGATGTCCTGGCTTTAAGTGAAACAAAGCTGAAGGGGGTGGGAGAGTTTCAGTGGAGAGGAATAAATGGGATTAGGTCAGGGGTTTCAAATAGAGTTAGAGCTAAAGAAGGAGTAGCAATAATGTTGAAGGATAAGCTATGGCAGGAAAAGAGGGACTATAAATGTATTAATTCAAGGATTATGTGGAGTAAAATAAAGATTGGATGTGAAAAGTGGGTTATAATAGGCATGTATGCACCTGGAGAAGAGAGAAGTGTAGAGGAGACAAAGAGAGATTTTGGGAAATGTTGAGTGAATGCGTGGGGAGTTTTGAATCAAGTGTGAGAGTAATGGTGGTTGGGGATTTCAATGCTGAAGTGGGTAAAAATGTTATGGAAGGAGTAGTAGGTAAATTTGGGGTGCCAGAGGTAAATGTAAATGGGGAGCCATTAATTGAGCTATGTGTAGAAAGAGATTTGGTAATAAGTAATACATATTTTATGAAAAAGAGGATAAATAAATATACAAGGTATGATGTAGCACGTAATGAAAGTAGTTTATTAGATTATGTATTGGTGGATAAAAGGTTGATGGGTAGGCTCCAGGATGTACATGTTTATAGAGGGGCAACTGATATATCGGATCATTATTTAGTTGTAGCTACAGTTAGAGTAAGAGGTAGATGGGAAAAGAGGAAGGTGGCAACAACAAGTAAGAGGGAGGTGAAAGTGTATAAACTAAGGGAGGAGGAAGTTCGGGTGGGATATAAGCGACTATTGGCAGAAAGGTGGGCTAGTGCAAAGATGAGTAGTGGGGGGTTGAAGAGGGTTGGAATAGTTTTAAAAATGCAGTATTAGAATGTGGGGCAGAAGTTTGTGCTTATAGGAGGGTGGGGGCAGGAGGAAAGAGGAGTGATTGGTGGAATGATGAAGTAAAGGGTGTGATAAAAGAGAAAAAGGTAGCTTATGAGAGGTTTTTACAAAGCAGAAGTGTTATAAGAAGAGCAGAGTATATGGAGAGTAAAAGAAAGGTAAAGAGAGTGGTGAGAGAGTGCAAAAGGAGAGCAGATGATAGAGTGGGAGAGGCACTGTCAAGAAATTTTAATGAAAATAAGAAAAAATTTTGGAGTGAGTTAAACAAGTTAAGAAAGCCTAGGGAAAGTATGGATTTGTCAGTTAAAAACAGAGTAGGGGAGTTAGTAGATGGGGAGATGGAGGTATTAGGAAGATGGCGAGAATATTTTGAGGAACTTTTAAATGTTAAGGAAGAAACAGAGGCAGTAATTTCATGCACTGGTCAGGGAGGTATACCATCTTGTAGGAGTCAAGAAGAGCAGAATGTAAGTGTGGGGGAGGTACGTGAGGCATTACATAAAATGAAAGGGGGTAAAGCAGCTGGAACTGATGGGGTCATGACAGAAATGTTAAAAGCAGGGGGGGATATAGTGTTGGAGTGGTTGGTACTTTTGTTTAATAAATGTATGAAAGAGGGGAAGGTACCTAGGGATTGGCAGAGAGCATGTATAGTCCCTTTATATAAAGGGAAAGGGGACAAAAGAGACTGTAAAAATTATTGAGGAATAAGTTTACTGAGTATACCAGGAAAATTGTACGGTAGGGTTAAAATTGAAAGAATTAGAGGTAAGACAGAATGTAGGATTGCGGATGAGCAAGGAGGTTTCAGAGTGGGTAGGGGATGTGTAGATCAAGTGTTTACATTGAAGCATATATGCGAACAGTATTTAGATAAAGGTAGGGAAGTTTTCATTGCATTTATGGATTTAGAAAAGGCATATGATAGAGTGGATAGAGAAGCAATGTGGCAGATGTTGCAAGTATATGGAATAGGTGGTAAGTTATTAAATGCTGTAAAGAGTTTTTATGAGGATAGTGAGGCTCAGGTTAGGGTGTGTAGAAGAGAGGGAGACTACTTCCCGGTAAAAGTAGGTCTTAGACAGGGATGTGTAATGTCACCATGGTTGTTTAATATATTTATAGATGGGATTGTAAAGGAAGTAAATGATAGGGTGTTCGGGAGAGGGGTGGGATTAATTTTGGGGAATCAAATTCAAAATATGAATTGACACAGTTGCTTTTTGCTGATGATACTGTGCTTATGGGAGATTCTAAAGAAAAATTGCAAAGGTTAGTGGATGAGTTTGGGAATGTGTGTAAAGGTAGAAACTTTAAAGTGAACATAGAAAAGAGTAAGGTGATGAGGGTGTCAAATGATTTAGATAAAGAAAAATTGGATATCAAATTGGGGAGGAGGAGTATGGAAGAAGTGAATGTTTTCAGATACTTGGGAGTTGACGTGTTGGCGGATGGATTTATGAAGGATGAGGTTAATCATAGAATTGATGAGCGAAAAAAGGTGAGTGGTGCGTTGAGGTATATGTGGAGTCAAAAAACGTTATCTATGGAGGCAAAGAATGGAATGTATGAAAGTATAGTAGTACCAACACTCTTATATGGGTGTGAAGCTTGGGTGGTAAATGCAGCAGCGAGGAGACGGAGGCAGTGGAGAT